GGATCCACCATCAGATGGCTCATTGGGATTTGAAACATAAAACTAGGGCCCCTGGCAGGTGTTATTTTCATCATGCAGTGGGTACCGAGGAATTTTGTTGTGTAATGGAATTGTGCCTGGCTTGATGTTTGATCAACAGCTGTGTGGAGGGGGAAAAAACAGGAGCTTCATGGCTACAGCTTACCAGCTAAAAGAGTTCCTGCCAGGCATGGATCCAGGTCACCCCCCATTCCTTATGCTGCAAAGTGAATGTTTCTTGCTCAGCTAATTGCAGACCTGGGAGGATGTGATAGGGTAGCAGACGGGGAAATTTTCCCATGGTTTGACCTGTTTAGATAATTTGAGCTCTGCTGCCTCTGCACCCCACCACTGTCCTTTGCAGTGAGTGGGGGTGACCAAGGGCTGTACATGGGCAGAGGACATTCCCCCCATGATTCAACCATCCCATATGGAATGGGTCAAGTGGCTGGGTAATGTCCCCACGGCCCTTGAACAGAATTCTGGGTCACCCTGTTTCTGTGCAAGGAGCAAGAGAAAGAGCTGGTATGGTTTGGCCTGTTTTGTGTATTCCTGGGATGGGTCAAGACAGCTCCTTCCCCTGCCCTTTGCACAGTATTTTACCCTGGTACTATGTGAGGGTGCATTCCCCTTGCAAGGAACCAATGTGAGGAATCAGTCACAGATCCAGGATAGCAGCTGGGGCTGTTGATCTGCAGAGGTGAGGAAGCAGACAGCATGGCTAGGGACAGACATTAAAAAAGCTAGAGTCTGAATTGGTTCAATCTTTGCAGGTTAGTCTAATATGGCTAGGCTGTACCAGTTTGCAACCATATAGACATTTCCTCTGGACAGAGGAAATGCAGGCACATGCCTGCAGTGGCTCAGGCTAGAAGCCAGGGGACATTAGAGCAGCCCTCCCTTCCCTTCTATAGTACTGAGCTAAGCAGGGGATGTGGCCTGCTCTGATTAAGAAGGGATCCCCTCCCCCCACTGCTTCTGACCAGCAGGAGCCAGCAGGGAGTTGATACAGGGTTTAACTCCCCATCAAGAAAACAAAAGCCTCTCATTAGTTCAAGCTCTTCTTAAACAGCTTTTTCCAAGGAAGGTATGGAGGGACATTACCAGCTGACCTGCTGATTAGCTCCAAAAAGCCCTAAGCGGACACTGTCCTGTCTACCTTACACTGATGCCTCTCAGCATTAGCTAGCATACCATATGCTGGCTATGGTCCATGCTGTGGGACAGGGGAAGGGGGGAAATCCCTGCTTCAGCAGGGAGTGGTGAGAGGGGGTGGGGCAAGGGGAAGCCAGACAGACCCTGCTGTGCTTGCAGACTGCTGGAGGACCAGCTACGGAGCACAGGGGTGGGACCAGCCCTGCTCTGAAGTAGAGGGCCCCATCCAGGGCTGCAAAGCATCTAGGATGCTGGGGGACTCTGGTTTAAGTTACACCAGGGAGGGGTCTGGGACAGACATTGCATAAACCAGTTTGACCCAAATCCGTTAAGTCGGAAACTATATTCAGCCAGGTTTATCTCAAACTGATTTCAGCTATTTTCAAACTAATTTATGTGCACTGAACCTCTGTTCTGTTACAGGTTTAAACCAGTTTCTGATCACTTAAACCGGTTTGTGTGTAATAGCTATCCCTAGGCCAAGACTTGTCCCAGCTCCAGGCTATGTTTGAAAGCAGCAATTGCTGCTCTGGGACCTACCAGGGTCCCAGCACAACAGCTGGAGCTATGATCACAGTCCCTGTTCACCCGCTGGGATGAACCCCAGGGTACCCAGAAAAGCCCTATCACTCATTGCATAACATGCTACGTGTTCAAATTAAACCACAGTACAAACCAGACACAAAGATGTCCCACATTTAACAAGTAACAAGTTTGAGGATCGTTCACTGTTTTGTGGCTGGTTTGCTATTTTTATTGTGCAATAAATCATTTGAATGTGTGTGGCATTTTACAGTTTTTCATACAGTAAGTGTAATGTCTTCCAGAGGCTTCTCTTTCACTTCTCATACTAGTAGCAAATGCTTCTTTTGCTGGTGCAAATCTAGCTTAAAGTGGAGAGGAACTGAAAAAATCATTAAACCACATTGTTTGGTGACCCAAATTGAAAAAGGGAACAATAAAACCACCATGCAACTACAGCTCTAAAAGTCCTTTATTCACATTGTTCTGACACCGAAGCTCTGGCATCATTTGAACAGCAATTTGTCCACTGCTACTTCAGAAGTCCGTGGATTTTTTATTTAATAGAATCCACTTCTCTGAACTTGTACCCCAGTCCTTTAAACCAAGACTCTCTAAATGAGTTATTGATCTCAATTCCAGGTCCTGAGGAATTGTATCCATGTTGCAAAGCCACACACATGTATACAAATTGAAAAAACTAAATTGGACACAATACACACACACACACACACACACACGCACGCACGCTAAACACCAACATGGTCAACACAATGCTGCCAGTCCTAAATATTAAAAAATTGTGAGTGAGAAATTACAGCATTGGCTTAAACATCATAGGATTTAATTTGTGGTTCTTTCTAGTGGCCTTCTTGGTTTTTGAGTCATCATGTTACACACTGTTCAGATTTTCAGCTTTCCTCCACAACCATGAGGAACTGAAACTATTTTTCCTTTTAAACGAAATCTGAGATTCTCCGCTTTAGAAGCAGAAGATTTAAAATCAAAGGAGTAAATACAGCAAGAGTTAGTTTATCATTGCTGGCAGTTCCAACAGAAGCAAAGGTTTCAACTGGCATGGAGACTGAGCTAAGCCATTCAGATGTTTCTGTTTCTCTCTCTGTCTCAAAAACATAGTAATAAAAACTTCTCTCTTAGAGAATAAAATCCAGATTTCATTTTGCCCCAGTTTCTCTTAACATTAAGAATAAATGTCCCTGCCAATAAGATGACTACTTAGCAAAAAAATTCAAACTTGGTCTTGACTGAGGTTTTTTTTTAATATGTATTAATAAAATTATGTATTTATCTTATATGAACAATATTTAATATTTAAGAAGATTGGGGAAGGAATTCAGAATGCAAAATTACAAACAACTTTATATACTCACCATAAAAATGTGCTCTTAAAAATTCTGGGGTGGGACCAACATTGAAATGAGATTCCTACAAAATAGTTTTTTCAGGCACACTAAATATCCTTCAGTTCAGCAAAACATATAATCCTCTTGGATCAGGCAAATGGATTTTCTTAGAACATGCTGAGATAACAGCATTCTGCTACATTCTGGCACTATAAAACCATTGCTTATGAAAATAAAAGAAAAATATGGTCTCTCTGGGAACATACATCTCAGAATTACTTTTTTTCCATAGTTTAAATGTTGAACTCTCAAAATCAATTCTTACACAAATACACCACATACTCTTTATGAGTCATGGCAAAAACTCTCCTGCACCAATGTTTTAAGTCGGCCAAGAGTACATATACCCTTCTAAATGATGATCCATTCACAGGCTTGGCTCTGACTTCAGCTAACCTTGGATAATAGCCAAAGCACAACTGCTGGAGTCAAAATCTACAACAGCACCATCTAGTGAGAACAAAGTGAAAACAGCAGCATGCAAATGTAAATAGTGTTTGATGTCAGGAGACTGGCAAAATGCCACTTCTCTGCTAACTGTATATTACAACTACACTTCAACATGGCTTTCTTCCTCTGTGTCTAACTTTGCATCCATACAGTGACAAGCACAGAAAAAGATTCAGTAGACAATACAGCTTTCTCCTTTAGTGCTGCAAGCTGGGAAATCACTTGAACTATATGTTTATATTTCAAGTGGAGTAGCTTTCCTCTCATTTATTTTTGCAACCTAAAGCTGGGGGGGGGGGGGGGGGGGGGGGTTAATTAGCGTGGCTTCAAGGGTTGAGAAATTTAACTTTTAAAATTTATGTATCAGTTATGATGTAAAATTCTTGATTCTTTACTTTGTAGAGGGGATACAATACTGCTAGAGGGCAAGTCACCTCAGAATATAAATTATCATCACACTCTACTAAGCAAGCCCTGAAGATATTTGAATCTGTTCCTCTTACATGACTGTAATGTTCTGTGGGCCTACTTTTGTTTTTGAAACATAAAATCTTTAAAATGGGCCAAATAACTTTCCTTCAATAGTCTTCTCAAACAAAATAACAACATTCTCACACACTATATCAGCAGTTCCCAACCTTGGGGGTCATGACTCCATCTAGGTCACAACGATAAAAACCGGGGTCGCAAAGACAATCACAGATTTTCTCCGTTAAAGGAGAAAAAAGCAGGAAACTCCCCTTGTAGGCTGGCAGAGTTCCAGGGGTCTGCGGTACCACAAACCACACGTGCGCGCTCGTCTGGATGCACCCTCTAGGTTCACACCAGCACAAAAAAAATGGTGGAGTTGAGAAAGGATTAAATCATGTTGCGTCACAATCTGAACATCTCCTTTTCCCCACTCTTTTAAAGCAGTTACAGCAAGAATTAGAAGAGTCATTGTTTGTTTTATGATACTCATGCTTGATGTTTAAGAAGCATGGCAGCACTGTGGGAAATGAATCTTTCCAGGATTTTCAGTGGACTTCAGATTGGGTTCAAATTGATGCTGAAGACAGAAGAGCCCAAGGAAAACAAATAGCACAATCTTATTTGTAACAGCCTCAAGTGGGCTGCTTATACTATAGACATTATGGAGGTGTTGAGATTTCTGATTTAGCATGTATCACTGTAACAACTCCTGATGTACAGCAGTGTAAGGAAGAAGAGAAACAAGCACCTAGTGAGAGGGCATGTACAAGAATTTACCACTTGAAATTCCAAAGAGAAGTGCAAAGGTTTAATGAGTTGCATAATACAGATTCAAAGAGGAATATGAATATTAGAAGAAATTACAGACACACACACATATATAATAGTGACACAATAGAATACACAAGCACGCATGCACATATATTCATAAATGAATCTAATGAGTATCCTTGTACATACCATCCAAAATAATGTCCCTGTGGCCAGAGCTGCATACTGTTCAATTGTAGAAAGCACGCTGAATATAAGGCAGATCAACACTATAAGGAAACTAGAAAGAAAATAACAACAATGAGATTACTAACATGTCTTATTATAACTCAGTAAAAATAGGGACAGAGGATAGGTAAACTACACAAAATTCTCTATTATTTAATTTCCTTTGCACATGCAAAAATTATTTCTTAAAATCACACCTGCAACACATTTAGCAGTCATTTTTCCTTTGCTAGAACAACACATATTTCTTTTTAAACATGGAGGCATAGGGAAGGGGTTGGGTTTTTGTTTTTTGGTTTTCTGGACAGGAACCACACCCTGGATGGCCTTGGGGTTCATCACCTCTTCAAGGAGAGGTACTTGCAAGCACAAATCTTTATAGTGGGTTCAGGGAAAAACCTGACACTCACTATTGCTAAAAAGCTGAAATTCCCTTTCAGATTAGAATCTGAAAGAATAGGGGTTGCATAGGTAACCTGAAGAAGAAACAGGAAGAGCAGTGGAGACCCTCCCCCGTGATGTGGAGGAAGTGGCAACCCCTGGAGGTGGGAGCCAGAGCAGTGGCCCCTACCACTGTACCCCAGCAGCACTCCCCAGCATCAGAGTGGCAGCAGCTCTGGTGTGGGCCTTTCTACCTAACATCTACTACTTTGGCTGGTGTAAATTGTAGGGTCCCTGGAGCAAAGCGGCAAGCCCTGGCAGTGAGGAGCAACAGGGGCTCCAAACTGGGCTTCCCTACCCAGCACTTGGCTACTTGGCTGGCATAGCTGGTAGAGCCCCAAGATGCCACTCCTGTGTGATATTCCCTTCCCAACTGATTAGGTTAGGTGGTAACTCCCTGAGTTAGTTTGCTGGTGACTGTGACTTGCTTTAAGCTACAGGTAAGGGTTAATAGTTAAGTTTTTCCTTAAGGTGCATGCTTGTTCCTCTTTACCTTGTAACAAACCCTGTTATAGTTTAATGTTTGCTTGTGGGTGGGAAAGTTTATTGAACATCTGGTTAAAATTTACACCTAAAGTTGAACTTGCCCTTGTTGCTTCCATTCAGTAATACCTACCTACCTAACCACCCACATCTCTCTCTACATCTATATACAGTATAACCTCATAAATCTGGCATGTTTAACACCTAGCACCTGCCGGAAATTTGCCTGGCACAGCCTGGCCAGCCAGACACATGAACAGAGGAGTGGGGAAAGATTGCATGCAGTGGCTGCCATCGCCATCCACCACACTGTGCCACCATGCCGCTCTGTATGCGGCCACCACTACTCCCCCACCCTATTGCACGACTGGCCACTGCAGGCAAACTGGTCAAAAAAGGTTGAAAACCCCCGATGTAGTGTATTTCTTAGAAGTGCCAGATTTTTGAGAATTCTGGAATTTTGAATTTCTGGTCACCTGGCTGGGGTCATCTGACCCCAGATGTCTTTCCTGCTCATGCAGGGGGCTGGACCCGATCATCCTTTGGGGTCCCTTCCAGCCCTACGATTGTGATTGAAAACCACATTTATTAGGGGTGTGCAAAACGGGCTGTACTCTATTTGGATTTGGATTCGGCCTAAATCGGAGACAGTGATTAGATTCATTGATCCAGATCACTGTCCCGGATTCGATTCAGCTGAATCCGAATTTGAAGATTCGATGCCAATTCAGAGAATCAGTGATTTGGACAGAGACACAGCTTTAAATGTTTTTTTCTACATATCTTGAGCTACCAGGCATGGCTCATGAATGCTGCGATGCTGGGGCAGACGGAGCATCCCACAGGAGCATGGGGGGGTGGTCCCCTGCGTGCTCGGCAGTGAACCTTGAAGTGGACTGGAAGTAATTCTGGTCTACTTCCAGGTCTGCCAGGGAGCACGTGGGGGGGGGGGGGGGGGTGTCCTCGCACCCTCCTCTGGCTCTGCAATCGGCTGCGGGAAGACTCTGGTACCCCTCAGACCCAAGAGGCACTAGGCACTGAGCTAGCGGGGTCCAGAGGAGCTGCCCAGTGCACTCCCCAGCAGATCCAGAAGTGGACCGGAACTACTTCTGGTCCACTTCTGGGTCTATTGCCAAGCACACTGGGGAGCCCCCCCATGCTCCTGTGGGACACTCCATCTGCCCCAGCATCGCAGCATTCACGAGCCGCCTGCTACCTTAAGGTATGTAGAAAAAACATTTAAAGTTGTGTCTATGTCCGAATCTCCGAATCTTTCTAAATCAATTTGGAGGGTTCCGATTCGATTCGGATTCAGAGATTTGGCCACCAAATCGAGATGAATCTCTGCCAAATTGAATCAGGGACCAAAGCTTCGCATAGCCCTAGTATTTATGAGATTACACTGTATATATTAAACCCAAACTACAGATCAAATTACAAATGTTTACAAATGACTACAATTTCATGCTATCACACCTCATCTGTTTCCTACTGCTGTGCTATTACTTATAAAGAGAAGATCTTGACTATGTGCAAGACACTACAAGTACCAGAAATGTACAGTATTCAGTAATTTTTGGTTGATTTCAATTAGTCCGTGTTATTTTAATGAATGTAAAACATTTGATTGTTTCACATATAATAATGGATGAGGTCATCTTCCACCAAACCAAGCATACAGAATATTGTCATATTCTTTGACATGGAGCTGAGCAGCATGATGTGTGCATGAAAGATGGAACAAATTAGATGGTGCACTGACCCAGCAGGATAACATGCGGAAGGTCCTTGGTGACATCCTCCTCCAGAATCCCTCCTGTGGATGTTTCCACTAGGGAGGGGTGATCTGGATCAACATATTCAAGGAAATGACGATGCTGGGCAAGCAAGTTAATCAAATAATCTCTCTAATCATCACAAGCAAGTAAGGTAACTATTTTATAAACAGATGTGAACTTGCAAAATATATGAGACATTGAAAATTACAGTATACAAATATGTCTAATCTAGCTAGATTTTATTTAAGGCTCCATTTGCATAATCCCTAAGCACTAATAGTCCTTAATGTATTTATCTTTGCACCATCCCTGATTTTCAAGGAGGTCCTATTTTCCCTCCTTTTTGCAGAGGTGATACAAAAGATTACCATATTTTCTTGCATACAACATGCCCCCAAATAAGGTATGACTGTTTTGGCAAGGCAAAATAATTTTAAAAGATTTTTTTGGAGTCATGTCTGAATCCTGACCATTGCTGTGCAGCTAAAGCTACAGTTTTAATGCTCTCACAACCACTACTGAATTGCTGGGCCAAAAGTGACTGCCACTTCAGCAGTGTCTGTGAAAAGGTTAAAACTAACTCTGATGTTAAGATCACACTGTGATCCGTCCTCTCTGCAACCACAGAAAGAAGTAGAGCCCTGGCGGTCGTTACAGTGTCCCTTTGCTTCTATTCCAACAGAGAAGTCAGTTTTTCCACTTAAGACATGCAGCCCAATTTTGGAGGGATTTTTGGGGGCATGTGAGTAAATATAGTATAAGTGATTTGGTCCCAGATAACATGATGTCTGTGGTAGAGCAGGAAACTGGGCCCAGGTTTCATAAGTCTCATTACTGAAATCCTAACAGTCACTCAGTAGAAACTAGGATAAACTGTCAAGGTTTAATCCACCCACCTGTTTGTAGCCGAAGGCTTGAAGAAAATATTTTGTGTTTTCTATTATGGGGAGCCACTACTTATATGGAGTTTTGCATGCAATTGTTCAGGCGTTATTGCTACGAGATTTAATAACTCCTTTGTAAAGTAATGTCACGTGTTTATCTGGACAGTCTTCATGAAAGACCTTTCAACAACATGGTGAAGGATAAAGACACTTGTATTTTTCTTTCCTCCTTCGCTTCAGACTACCTAATAGAGCAGAGAACAAGGCATTACAACTTTCTGTATGTTAAAAAATTACCACACATGCTGCAGAGAGCAGTGATTACAGTTCGTCATGGTTTAAAACAAGTCCAGAATTCATGTTATAAGAATACAAATGAGACACATAGTAAGAGGACACATAAGGTGGCAGATAAAATACAAACACAAATTCACCTACAATCTTTGTGGAAGCTGTATTTCTTAATTCCACACCATCTTGTCCCCCTTACAACATTTTGTTTTTTCACCAGACTGCTTTTATCTACCTTTCAGCTGTCATCACCCCACCCCTCTTTCTAATGGATCATTTATTTACTTCCACTGAGCAAACTAGCACCATGGTTTTCTTTTTGTTTAATTGGTTTTTACTTTGTAAATGAAAGCAGTGGTAATAAAAAGGAAAGATTAATCGCACTGGATCGAGCCAAATGCAATGAGTGGGAATCATACAGATTTTTCCACAGACCTGTGCCAATCAATATTGAGAAATAACAGGCATAATTAAGTGATAAAAGTAGCTTACCAGACAAAGGGGTTAATATTGTGCTGAGTACAGAACAGATTTATTTTTTAAAAATGTAACTGTTTCTGGGGGAAGCAGGAGATTCACAGGTCTTATTTATTTGTTTCCCTGTTTTACTAAAAGTATTCCCTGTTTACCATAACCAAGTGCTTCTAGTCTATGTTAGGTGTTTATCTAGCTCCCATTAACATAATATCAGAACTACTTGCACTGCTAAATTTTTTTATGCCAACAACACCTCTGTGAGATCCTGCAGCTATTATCCTATTCTGTGTAAAGGGAACCGAGGCCCAGAGCAATTAACCAACTTGCCCAAAGCAACACAAGGAATCTGTCGTGACCCAGGGATGAAACTCAGTTCCACTCGTCCTAAGTTAGCACTCAGTCTAATTACCAGACTGCCTTTCTCCAGCTATTTAAATGAAAATGCATTGCTCACAACATATTAATTTTCTTCCTGAGAATAATGAATGTGACGAGTTCAATAATCTACGGGTTGAATTGAGGTTTGAGATTTCAACCTTGCAGGAGTTCAGGAGTATATTATTTCTTGAGACTTTTTAGTTCAATTTGATCTAGCAAATAAACATTTTCATGAGAGAGAGAGCTATTTTTCCTTAAAATAGATGCATTACTACAGTATCACTGAGTTCATAGGCTACTGAATTGTCACATCCAAATTATTTTCTCTAACCAAAAAAAAATTAGCTTCTGGACACAGATTTACTGATATGCCAAGTGTCTATTGGTAGTTCAGTTAGGTATATTAGCCATATTAGGACTTGATGTTCCCACCCTGGGACTGTCCCACCCATAGGCAACTCGTAGGGGGCGCACGGAGGTGCACATGCCCCCCTTGACAGGGCCGGTGCCCCCCCGACGGCCGACACTGATGCTGTCAGTAGGGCTGGTTCCCCCCTGACAGGACCACTGCCAGCGGTGGCTTCTGCGGGTGCCCCCCCAGATTCAGGAGGCACCAGTTACTCATGGTCCTGCCCAATTAGGGATGGTCACCCTATTTGGGCCTCATTTCTTCCTAAATGTTGAGATCCCTGGGGGTTTCTCTCTCCCGTAATACCCTGCAGATTTCCCTTCTCAGCAAGCGTTATGTGATGTATCATAAAAATAACAGAAATCGGGGTACAAAATTGGAGATGTAGTCCAGTCAGGGAGCTTGGTCCATATAAAAGCATGGGGGCAGCAGAGTCCCAAACTGCAACTCAAGTAAATAGGCTACTTGAACAAACCCAAATGAAATATTTTTTTACCTTAGTAATGGTGAGTTATTTTCTTTTGGTTGAAATGTTTTGACATTTCTCAAATCAAATCTGGAATTCAATTAAAAAAATGGATTTCAAATTTGCATCTGAAAATGCAAATGGGATGAAAATAAACTACTAAAATATCAAAACTTCCTGTTTGGCAGAACTCCTATATTTTAGTCAGCTCTGATCAAAATTTAGGTGTACTGGCATTCCAAGTTGTGATTTTTTTTTTAAAGCAGCATCAGTAGGAGCCTTTCTAGTTACCTGAGCAAATAAATTAACTAAAAGTCTCTTCAGTTCATTTAATGTTACAGCTTTCCACACTGCCTCCCCCCTCCACATATTTGGACAGGTCACACACAATAAAACCAAATGTTATCAAACTAACTTCCTCCTACATCTTATTTCTTCCTGAGACTGAGAAGCAGCCTATGAAATTGCAGGTTAAAAGATAATTCATTAGAAAGAAGCAGATTTAAAATAAAACTGAGTTTAAGTCCATAAAAACTGTTTTCTGCTAATTAATGAGTGTATCCTTGAGTATTAAGAAAATGAGGTTCTCTCTACTACTATTTAAAAGAATGATGCCCAATTTTTTCACCCAATAAGCTAGATGAGCAGTGCCAGGTCAGCCCATGATCTGGATCCAGTTCCTGGACCCAATACAGGATGCAGTACTGATCCAGCCAGTGCCAGATCCCTGCATGCAGAAATGGCCTGGCTCGGCCCCAATCCAGCTGTGTGTGACTCGAAAATTTGGTGGCAGGGAAGCAGTGGCAGTATTAATTGCAACTGCTCACCCACTGCCAAATTTCTGGATCCATAAGGAGCCCCAGGAGCTGGATGACATGGGATTTGGCCCACGGGCAGAGGGTTGAGCACCCTTTATTTAATAGGTGTTTTCTACCCAAGTGTTCTGTGTTAGTTAATGGTGTTGGGAAATCTCATTACATGCCTGCATTGTCATTCATCTCTTGTGTAAATTATGTAATCCTCAAATTCCTCAGGGCATACTTGTTGGCATCCTCACACTGATTTGTCTGGTACTTAGAGAATGAAGAGGGAGGCACAGAACTGGCACCAACCAGCCCAAAATCCTGAATGAGAGTTCTAGGGCAGGTCTAAATTGAGCAATAGAAAGCCTGAGTTTTCACTTGTCTTGGCAGCGGCACAAGGCAGTAAAAGATGCACTGTTCTTAAACATGTAATTTTTTGTCAACATCAGGTATATATGGGAGGTTTTTTTTAACTATTATTTAGTGATTACCTTGAGTCTCATCTTAGGGATGATAACAGATCTCCTCACTATTGACATGGGAGAAGGAACTGCATACCACTTAAAAGTTCCTGGCTGATGATGAATTGGAAGGAATACCATACAGTAGCAATTCTGTTGTTAAGAGCTATAAAACTTATGTCTTCATGTAAAGTGTGTCCTTTCATTCAGTCAAGTTTTGTCAGTTGCTAGTATATTACCAACTATTATGAATTTTCTTTTTAATGTGGTTCTATTTCCTGGCAATTATTGCTCCACAAAACCCAAATCGACAAAACCTGCTGTATATTGGATAGTCACATGTATAAAAATATTTGCTCAAGACGACCCATCTTCAGCACAGCTTAGCAAGTATCTGTCAGTCGGCTGCCACTTTCTCACAAACACATTGGTGCAGCCCTTATCTCTTGTGCTAATACTGTTTTAACATTAAATGAAAGGATAGAATGCACAGCCATAAAGAATATTAAGTGATACTAAGTAGCGATACTAAGAAGTTATCCAGAGAGAAGCTTATGCTCCAGGTCCCCCTCTTAATTAAAAAATACAAAACCATTAAGAAAGATAAGGATTCACAACCAGTATTGCAACTCAGTCTGGGCAGCAGGACACTGTATTTACTATGCCTTACTACTTGTCTACTGCAGTGCAAAGCAAATTGGGAATGGAAGAGACCCACAGGGTCATTTTGTTCATTGCCAATCCAAGTCAGAGAGGCTCACTGTGGAGATACTATTTTGTCATCAGATGATTTACTTCCACTATGCTAGCAAATGACTTTTATTTTAACATCTGCTTTGGTCTATACCTTCTGTTGACCATCTTAGAACACTTTCTAACATTTCCTTAACAAATGTTAGAATATACTGTTAGTGCTGCCTTCTGTCTCACTGAATCTTAACTTTTCTGTTAAATCTACAGAGTTACAGCTACAGAAGAATGTAAAAAAACCAGAATATTCCACCATGAATAATGGTCATGATAGTCATCATGATATACCCCAACGTGGTCCCTGCTCTTTGCACCTGTCAAAGAGAGCACAAATGGAATTAAATGCATCTGATTGGATACTTCCATAGTGTGGACTCATCAGGTGTGCAAATGGCTTAGTCAGCTCCTCAACCAAACTAAAAGAGCACCACAGAGCATGCTTTGCTTTGGCAATTCCTATTAGGTGAATATCTTTTGAGGAATAGTACCAGCTGGCAGGGCTTAAAGCAGCTCTAAGAGGCTCAAACCTTGATAAAGTCACAGCACTTATAAAGCTATAGGTTTGAGGCCATTTTTAAAAAATAGATAATTAAACATCAAATATTTATGGAGAATGGAACTATAGCCACACTCTATATTCAGAATCTTGACAAGTAACCACTGTTAAAAGGTACAAACAGTAAACTTAGACACAGTTCATCAATGTTGCAACACAAGATTGAAGTGTATTTAGACCTCACACGCCATGCCTGTTCAAATTAAAGAATTAATTCTAACCTCACGTTCCTGTTCCTAAAATAAAAAGGATTACTAATAACTTTATCCTGTTGCTGGAGTTTATGTGGGAGATGCATGTCTTGGCAGTAGTCTTTGTTGTGTTAGTAGCATAG